AATTTTTATGGCGTTTTGATAGAGACCGGCGACGCGTCCACGGGAAACACCGACGTTTAATGAGAGATTATCGACGATGTCTAATAAGAGGAGGAACGACGATCCGATGAATCACAGGATGATTATCGTCGCGTGGACGCTTGCTGTTAGAGCAGCTTTATCAGCTGTTTTAGTCGCTAAACGCGCGAACAGAATTCGACGGCTCGAAACGCTTCCAAAAGTAACCGTTGGACAAGAAGCGATCCGATTGTCGATCAACGATCGTAAGTTGTCCGTTGTTATAATTAATTTATGATAATTATGCGGAAAGCGATCCGAATAACGATTAACGAGCGTAACTCGTCGCGGTTGTTACAAGCGATTTATAAGAATTTATCAGAACGATAAACATAATAACAAACGAGTTATAATCGTTGATCGAATCGAACGTTATTCGAACAATTTAGCGGAAATATTCTTCTTTTTGTCGGTCGAACAATTTAGTCGATAGATTTTTCGAATAAAATTTTATTCGAGATATTTCTCGAACAAAGTATTATTCGAGGAATTAATTGGAAATGTTATTCCAATAAAATTGTCTTCCAATATTGGCCCGACTCTGCGCAATGGTTATTCGGAATAAAAGTTCTTCGTAGCTGTTCCAAGTTGTTAAATCTATATTAGGACGCTCGCAGAAGCGAAAGAGAGATAAAGAACGAGCTGGAAAGAATCAAGAACAACGGCGAGCGAAATATTATATTACGTAAATCCCCGGGCAAAAATGATTGCCGTGAGAAGCGTTTTTGTTTTTGTCGTCGGCTCGCACGCATGCAGGCCGCGCACAAACACCGAGTCGGAGCACGATCGCGTTCATAGTGCACGAAAGCAACCGAGTTATCGGCGACGTGAATTACAGGTTCGCTCGGCTAAATTCCAAGTTTAATCACTTCAGAGACGACGCGTACGCGCCGAGTTTCTGTAACATTGAAATCCTTAAACGTAAATACCGCGACGCGTGCGGATCGGCCGCGAGAATCCGCTCGTCCGCGAACGTGACGCAATTCCGCCGCGGCCAACGCAAAAATAGATCTTTTTATCCGGAGCTAACAGTTTTTCGAATACCCGCGAATATCCGCTGCGACGCGACCGTATTTCGAAATTGAGAAATTTCACGCGAGGCTAACAACGCGTTCCTTTGATTCCTGCACTACACGCGTGTCACGGACACGCGCATATAAACGTGCGCGCGCGCTCAACGAGAGGTTTTGATGGGAAACGAGACGGGAGAGCCCCGTGGAAATTACAGCCAAGGTAATATAAATGTTTTGTTATTTTTTACGAGCCACTTGAATCGCGCGCTCGGGAAAGGAACAAGAAAACGCTCGAGCGCGCGCGCGCGCGCGAGTCAGTAGCGGCCGTATACATATACGTGCGTGCATACTTCTGTACGTGCGAGCTCGCAAGGCCGCGGCATTATTTTAATCGCTGTCCACGTATTATTTAATCCGATGCGCGGAATTAATAAATAGTGGGCGAGCAACAATTGTTTACAATGCTCGTTTTTGCTCGGAACTCGAAAACGATCCTCGGGCTCGATTTAATTAAATTATTTCGATTGCGCGTCCACCGTCAATTAATACGTTCGCGATGGTCGTTATTCGAGTCGCTGGACAATTAGAAAATATCGCAGACACCGATGTTTTATTTGTACCTTGTGAAAAATACAACTGTTCTCCGAACTCAATATTCTGAAATTATTAATTATTTTCAGTATTTAATTCTGGAACGTCATCCCTCTAGCTTTCTACATAAGTAACATCGGGTTGCGTTGTAATATATAAATATATAGAACAATATACATAATATTATATATCGTAATTTATAAACGAACGAAATAGAAAATATTATCATGTTATTATTATTATTATTATTATTATTATTATATTATATAACCTGAGCACTTTATAGTATTTATTTACGCGTCAGCAGACAAATTAAAAATTCTATGGGGTCGCCGGCAACCCCAGGGGGTAGTTCTAGGGTTAATGCTTCTACCGTCTGAAATAGCGTGTAGAGATTTTTATCGTAAATCTGTAAAATGTACATCGTAAACGAAAATACTTGTGTAAACAGGAATCGGTTAAATGAATTACCGTTTCCATCTGCCGATGAAAATGTAGATTTTCGCGAGGGTCTGTTATCGATTTATGCGTAACTCCGGTGCACGACGAATTCCGTACGTTTATAGAATGAAAAACGTGGCCTCGAAACAGTAATTTAACGAAGTTCTCATTTAATTCGAGATCGAACCGTGATGTCTCTCGAAACAAATTTTCCTACGATACCCGTGAAAAATCCATGCGTTCGCTGATGATCGCGGAAAGAAGGGGGCGAGGGTGGGAAGGAGGAGGAGAGAAAAAAGGCCGGTCGTCGTGCGAGCGTATTCAATGTTGCATAATAGAATTTTCACCGTGCCTCACTTATCATACTCCAAATAGCTTCGCCTCGTATAAATATATAATTTTATTACGTCATGGACGCTCTCTGTGCGCTCTCGGGCGCACAGGTCGCGAAAGGGGGATGGGAATTTTCGTTGGCGCACTGATTATTATTGCATCTGCCTGTAGCATTTCTTGTAGTTTATATTTCCCGTTTCGACTGCGTGGACGAGAACACACGATGGTGGAACGAGAAACGTAAGGAAAGAAAGTAAGATGAAGATAAAGAGAGGAGCGAGCGAGCGAGAGAGAGAGAGAGAGAAAGAAGAAAAACGAAGAAGAAATTTCTAAGAACGTTAAATAGCTCGTTGGAAAAGCGCACTTTATTCGAAAAGCCAGAGAGAGAATATTTTAAGTCACCGTTCCTGCCTGCTGCTGCTGCTGCTGCTGATGTTGGTGGTGGTGGTAGTGCATTGGTAGTGGTGGTAGTAGCGGTGGTGGAGGCACCGGCGGCGAAGGGTGGGGGTGGCAGCAGCGGCGAGGGTGGGAGGGCACAAAGGCGACGAAAAACTGCACGAGTTTGTTGTTTCCTCGTTACGAGAAAAAGACAATAGAGAGCGCTCCGCGTATTATGTACTCCGACGAGTTACGATAACAAAAATGACGCTCGCCGCTCTCCTCGGGCTCTGATACAATAATTACCAGCCGTGACTCGCGACCCCGCATTATCGATTTAATTCTCAAATGTATACTTTCAATTCGTTCACCGAAAGACTGACGGAGAAAGAGGGAAACACCGAGAGAGAGCGAGAGAACGAGAGAGAGAGAGAGAGAGAGCAGGAGTCGAGGGGGTGGGTGTAGGACGGCGAGTGGTGGGGCTGCAGCGAAATAATATTATTAAATGCACTCGGATAGTCCAATTATTGTTCCATGTTCGAGCTCCGAATAAATAATTCCGGCTGAATGCAACGCGACCGAAAGGGGCGACGAATAAAATGAAAGAGAAATAAAATCGATAACAAAAACCATTGTAAAATATTTTTCAAACTGTACCATGTCTGTTCTTTCTCCGCTGCTAAATATTTTTCCATCGAACACGGTTTAATGTATTTATATTTTGCACGTACACGCACATTTTTGTTTTATTTTGTAGAACAGAGAAAAAGAGAGAGAGAGAGAGAAATAAGGATTGACGCAAACCTGCGATCTGAAAATTTCCTTCGAACAAGACGATGCTCCATTTATCCGTCCGCCGTGTGCACCATAATATTTCATCCTAATAATAACGGAAGCACTTATCGATTCGAACTCTTGTGGACGCGTGCACGGAACACACAGTGCTGTTGTGTGTTATTCCCTTCGATTCTCCTTTACCGCATTCCATTTAGACCACAATAACACGCTTTCGAGGGCGGGAGGGAGAAAGAGAAGCGCCGGAGCGAAAGAGAAAGAGAAAAGAAAGAGGAAAGGCGCCGAGTGAGCAAGCGAGAGAGAGAGAGAGGGGAGGAGAGGGAGAGAAAAGGAGAAGGAAATAGAATCGAATATCATTGAAAAAATGGAGCAGGCGAATGACTTCGAGGCAGGGGTGGGGAGCTTGTGGAGAAAAAAAAATGTAATTTCTCATTAAATCGTCGTTAGGACAATGCGAGTCGAGGTGGCTGTGTTAAATCGGGTTAAGGCACATCTATAAATACCTCACTAACTGAGAATGAGAGAACACGAGGAGAGGGAGGAGAAGAGCCAGCGAACAAGTGCGAGAGAGGCCGGCGTTCTCTCGTTGCAAGGAGAAGGAGAGACGAGCCGAAGAGAGAGAGAGAGAGAGAGAGAGAGAGGCACAAAGTGTGCAGAAGCACGAGAAAGAGAGAAAGAACAAATATACGAGGGGGACGAGGTGGGAGCGAAGCGAGCGAGATATGTAAACGGGAGAAAGAGTAAGCAAGCATGCGAGTCGGTAAAACAGACGAAGATAGAGTCTGCCCGGGGGTGGGGGTAACCGTGGTGTAGTGGTGGGGTTCGGCGAGTGCGAGGGTAGGGGGGAGAAGAAACGTGCGAGAGAAAGATAGATAAAAGCAGAGTCACAAAGTTGACAGAGAGACATGAAAATGAAACAGAGGAAACGCTGGGACGAGGGGGTTGGCGACGTCAGCGGCGGTGGTAGTAGTAATCAGTCCGTCTAATAGTGTGGGCACATCGAGGAGAGAGAGATATATACACACAATTGCATTCGTTGCCAGATGTCTAACTACACGATCGCCCTCCCCTCCACCGACCGTACCCCTACCCCTATCCCCACTCATCAGCACGCTGTCACTTCTGCATTACGGACGAGTAGCGAGGAGAACACGAGTCGAGGTAAATTCGTATAGCATGAACGAGCGAAGGGGGATGAAAAAGCGGCGCGTAACGCGTTATCTTAGGAACCCGGCACACGCACCGTGGACAAACGAAACACAGCCCTCCGCGAAACACCGCGATTATTATTTATCACCGTGTGGACCGTCGCGCGACCGAGCCGCGCGACAAGGCCACCGAAAAAATTGGAAAAAACTCCGAAAATTCTCCGGATTAAAATGCAACACTCACCTCTATCTTTTCCATTTCTTTGCTGCACGGCTGTCACTCACTATTCCCACAGTCATCTAGGATCCTTTGGCACACACACACTGACGGCACATAGCGCGGATAGAACACGGTCTACACACGAGAGCGCGGTGTGCGTGTATCGAAACGATATAGGTTTGACGCGCGCGGACCAGCGACTCACGGTGCGGCGCACGCCGCTGTCCCATCAAGACTACTTTGTATTTACTCTAATTATGTGACGTCACGGATACACTGCTCGCCCCACCACTAGCCGCCGGAGGCGGCCGACCGTTGACGAGCAAGCTCGACCGATCCCGAGCCCGAACAGGCAACGCGCATGGCGCGGCGATCCAGTCACCTGTCGTCTCTCTTCGTTCTCGTTGAGCCCTCGGCGAAGCAACACCGTGAACCGCTCGCGCGGTTTTCTTCATCCCGATATTATTTTCACTCGATCTCGTCCCCGGATCGCCACGCTCGGCGATCGACTCGCTCTCTCCGGATACCGTCGGACTCCTGTCGGCTCGGATCGCGTCGTGTTTTCTCTTAGTTTTCCGTTAGTTTTCTGTGTCCCGAATACGCGCTGTTTGTTGTGTTCCCGACGCCGAGTCCTCGAACGCCGTGCCGTCGCTTACCTACCCCTACGGAGTTTCGCGCGAGCCGCGAGTGGTGACAGTGCACCCCGGGACGATCCGATTCGATTAATTTCCGATCGCGATTCGCGAATTCGTGATTCACGCGAACGCGTGTCGAACTTGTCGCGACTGTGAGGACGGTACGTTTGTGGCCACTGGCGGGTTCGAGGATCATGGACAAGACGGCATTGTTCGGATACGACAATGCTTTTGTGGTTGATTCGGTGGTGTGCTGGGTCGTCCCATCATGCGGACACGTTGCGACACGTTCATGCGCACCCGTGCGCGTTTCGCGAACCGTTTCCATATTTGCAATGTACGCCGTCGGATGTGGACTGTTGCGACTTTACAGTGGATATCTGTGACAATTGCGATCATGTAGACGATGTTTCTTACCGAATTGTTCTAGCGATGCGTACCTACTTGTACCCTCTGGTTGCGTTCAATAAATTACTCGATCCTTTAACACTTTGACCGCCGCGACGTTCGCATAAGAAACTTGTTTGCTCAGGAAAATCGTTTCTACGTTGACGCGTATTCGATCTTCCGAATTCAGTTGGAATCCATGAAACGTGGGAAAGTGGAGAAAGTAATATGATATCGCGTAGCTCGACTTTGTCAAAGTGTTAAAGCGGCAGGGTTGAAAATAATCGACGTTCTTTTGGTAACAACTTTGCGGATAGGAATTTGATTATGGATAAATTAAGAGAACGGAGTGCATAGATTTAAGGCAGTGCAAGTGCATCCACCGACGCGTGTGCGGATTTTGAAAACGGAAAGGACTCGAGCCGCCAGGGTGAATGGATCGAATTCGAAGGAACCGAATGTTTCATGCTTGTAACGGGATGGTCGCGGCTCTGTGCTGGATGATGGACCGTGTCTAAGAAGTGAGAGAGAGCAATAAACGACGCCGTCGTTAAGAAATCGTATTGGTTTGTTTCATTTATTACCCAAAGCTCTTTTCCAGTTTCCAGTATTTTTCACAAAACTAACGCCGCCCAACGTCTATTTGTCTCTTTCAACGTTTTTAGTTTTTTACTCCGTTTTCGAACATACAAATCACACGAATCGACGCCTACTCGCGGGCGCCCTCCGAACGCTGTGCTTTCCGCGCGTGTTAATCTATATATCTTCGTTTTATCGTCTCGTTTCAATTAACCGTGCTTTCTCGCAATGCTTCCGCAATAAATTCATCTCTCACTCTCACTCTCTGTCATTCTCTTTTTTTTTTCTTCTCTCGCTCACCTTCGGTTTAGATTTTTGGTAACTTTCATTCGTCGCAGGACTGAGATTTAAGTGTTTCTTGTATTTCCAGAGAAAGAGTTATCTTTTCTTCATTCCTTTTTTTTTGTTGTTGTTGCGATTAAAGGCAACGTGCACGAGGAAATAGGAAGGATATATTTATGTATATATATGTATATATGTATATCATATATATATATTTATAATAAGCGTTAGAAGAAAGTGTGTGTGTGTGTGTGTGTTGTTTAAGTGTCGAACAGACGGATCGTAGGCCTATATCTCGCGAGACATTGACTCACACAGCGCTAGGATTAGCGATCTAGATGCGGGTTGGTATAAATTTAATTGTAATTATTTCGTTGTTGTTGTTTGTTCTCGCCGTCCATAAATTGTTTCTCTTCTTGTTTCTATTTTTTGTTGCTCACCGTTGCTTTTGCTCTCGATTGGACAATTTTTTCCACGACTTTTCCGTTAAGAATAGCGTAACAAGAGGAAAGAGAATACGTTCTTTTTTTTTTTCTTCGGAGGGGTTGTTAGCAGGGGCAGGGGGAGGGGAGGTGGTAAGCGTGGAACGAATGAAAGACGCGAATAGCCGTCAATTACCGTTTGTTTTGTAGTGTAGAAGAAACGATTTTTAACGCTCGAGAAATCAGGTGCCTGAAGCGAACTCATACGCAGCGTATTGTGCGAGTTTAAAACTTGAAAACTGGGCTCGTATAATCGATGCAGAAACACGTTTCGGAGAAAGGTGTTGCTGGCTCGAAGCGACAAACAGCGACGGAACGTGGCTTCGGTATTTGCTTCTCTTTTTATTTTGTTTCTCTCGTAAATATCACGCGATAAGAAAATATTCTAAATATTCAAAATTGATCGGCCACTTGATTCTATCCCGACGGCGCTTTCAAAAACTGTCTCTGCATCGGGGATCGTACGAGTCGGAGACAAAGAGTCGAGAAATTGAGAGGAAAGCGAAGCCGCGAGTAATTCCAAATCGATCTATTAAAACCTGTGTAAACGGAGGGAGGTGTGGGTGGACGCTGGGGGGGGGGGGGGGGGGGCCGTCACGAGAAACCATTTTTGTGCGAATTATGCATTCTTGCGCGTAATCGTCGTGAATCGAACAATCGGCATTCTCGCGGACTTACGTATTATTATCGAACAGGCAATTTAAAAACTACCTTTTCTTCCGGCTCTTATTTCCACGCAAAAGGTTAACGGAGTGGGACGAGTAGGTGTCGTCGGACGTCTTCCAGATTTCTCGACCCGATTAAACGACCAGCGACGATGTTTTTCCGCGGTGAAACGAGACACCGTAAGATTTGATTCACCGACACCGACAACGATCGCTTCGACACTCGAAATTATCGGTTTAATTGCACTCGGGGACGCTAATTGACAAGAGGACGATCGCGGAACAAGACCCGAACGGCAACTCGGCGCGCCAATTTGTAAAACGGAGCGCGCAGCGCCGTAAACGTCACTGCACCGCTATCTAGTTTCGGACGCGGGAACTAATACGAATTTTTCTCGCGCCTTCCGGGTAACCGAGGTCCGCGTCGTGCTAAAATCGTAACACGAAAATATTCGTTTACTCTCTGGATATTCACTTTTCAGTCGGCGATGCTGCTTTCGAAAAAGATGCTGCAACAATTATCCCGAAAGTGTACGCGATTTTTATGCGAATTACAATGGAGACAAAATAGCGATTAAGGAATACTAACAATTTAGGGACTTTTCAACGCAAATCGATTCCCTTTCCTAATCGTTTGAACAAATAAAAAATTGTATAGAACGTAACGATATTTTAAAATTCTCCCAATGTTATACTACTTTCCGTTTCACCCGCTAAATTTTGCTGTAAATAAGCGTGATCCGTGGCATTAATGTAATCCGATGATGAATGAAATTCTAATCGAAACGTAGACTCGAATATTTGTTAAGGGTTGATCTNTTTTTTTTTCTTCTCTCGCTCACCTTCGGTTTAGATTTTTGGTAACTTTCATTCGTCGCAGGACTGAGATTTAAGTGTTTCTTGTATTTCCAGAGAAAGAGTTATCTTTTCTTCATTCCTTTTTTTTTGTTGTTGTTGCGATTAAAGGCAACGTGCACGAGGAAATAGGAAGGATATATTTATGTATATATATGTATATATGTATATCATATATATATATTTATAATAAGCGTTAGAAGAAAGTGTGTGTGTGTGTGTGTGTTGTTTAAGTGTCGAACAGACGGATCGTAGGCCTATATCTCGCGAGACATTGACTCACACAGCGCTAGGATTAGCGATCTAGATGCGGGTTGGTATAAATTTAATTGTAATTATTTCGTTGTTGTTGTTTGTTCTCGCCGTCCATAAATTGTTTCTCTTCTTGTTTCTATTTTTTGTTGCTCACCGTTGCTTTTGCTCTCGATTGGACAATTTTTTCCACGACTTTTCCGTTAAGAATAGCGTAACAAGAGGAAAGAGAATACGTTCTTTTTTTTTTTCTTCGGAGGGGTTGTTAGCAGGGGCAGGGGGAGGGGAGGTGGTAAGCGTGGAACGAATGAAAGACGCGAATAGCCGTCAATTACCGTTTGTTTTGTAGTGTAGAAGAAACGATTTTTAACGCTCGAGAAATCAGGTGCCTGAAGCGAACTCATACGCAGCGTATTGTGCGAGTTTAAAACTTGAAAACTGGGCTCGTATAATCGATGCAGAAACACGTTTCGGAGAAAGGTGTTGCTGGCTCGAAGCGACAAACAGCGACGGAACGTGGCTTCGGTATTTGCTTCTCTTTTTATTTTGTTTCTCTCGTAAATATCACGCGATAAGAAAATATTCTAAATATTCAAAATTGATCGGCCACTTGATTCTATCCCGACGGCGCTTTCAAAAACTGTCTCTGCATCGGGGATCGTACGAGTCGGAGACAAAGAGTCGAGAAATTGAGAGGAAAGCGAAGCCGCGAGTAATTCCAAATCGATCTATTAAAACCTGTGTAAACGGAGGGAGGTGTGGGTGGACGCTGGGGGGGGGGGGGGGGGGGCCGTCACGAGAAACCATTTTTGTGCGAATTATGCATTCTTGCGCGTAATCGTCGTGAATCGAACAATCGGCATTCTCGCGGACTTACGTATTATTATCGAACAGGCAATTTAAAAACTACCTTTTCTTCCGGCTCTTATTTCCACGCAAAAGGTTAACGGAGTGGGACGAGTAGGTGTCGTCGGACGTCTTCCAGATTTCTCGACCCGATTAAACGACCAGCGACGATGTTTTTCCGCGGTGAAACGAGACACCGTAAGATTTGATTCACCGACACCGACAACGATCGCTTCGACACTCGAAATTATCGGTTTAATTGCACTCGGGGACGCTAATTGACAAGAGGACGATCGCGGAACAAGACCCGAACGGCAACTCGGCGCGCCAATTTGTAAAACGGAGCGCGCAGCGCCGTAAACGTCACTGCACCGCTATCTAGTTTCGGACGCGGGAACTAATACGAATTTTTCTCGCGCCTTCCGGGTAACCGAGGTCCGCGTCGTGCTAAAATCGTAACACGAAAATATTCGTTTACTCTCTGGATATTCACTTTTCAGTCGGCGATGCTGCTTTCGAAAAAGATGCTGCAACAATTATCCCGAAAGTGTACGCGATTTTTATGCGAATTACAATGGAGACAAAATAGCGATTAAGGAATACTAACAATTTAGGGACTTTTCAACGCAAATCGATTCCCTTTCCTAATCGTTTGAACAAATAAAAAATTGTATAGAACGTAACGATATTTTAAAATTCTCCCAATGTTATACTACTTTCCGTTTCACCCGCTAAATTTTGCTGTAAATAAGCGTGATCCGTGGCATTAATGTAATCCGATGATGAATGAAATTCTAATCGAAACGTAGACTCGAATATTTGTTAAGGGTTGATCTACTCGGACCAAGCGAAGATCCAGCAGAGAGTGAATCGATATCTCGCGTTCAGCGAATCGCGTAAGGTACTAATTAGTCAGATAATCGCGTTAAAATCCTCGCTCGTTCTCGATTCGTTCATCCTGGGAACAGGACAGAGACAGAATTCGTGTTTCCCGCAACGGCCGCCGCATAGATTCCATTCGAACTTATGCACCGCACAAGAATAGTGTACGAGTTTCTTTTTACCGCGGATCCTGGCTCGGCTAAGGTTACAATTATTGTGACGGTCAAACATGGCGTTCGAGGGGGACATTACACTGGTTTTTCGCCTGTTCACCGACGCTTAACAATTTCTATTTGTTTATATCCTAGTCCGTTGCAAGTTTGATCGTGTAGAATCGGAAGGTCGCATCGTATTTCTCGTTGCGCCGCGAACGCGATTAGGGTCGCCGTACGAGCGACGCGGGTGTCTGTCTCTCTATATGTTTGTCGTCTCGACCTGTTAGCTGCTTGGTCGGCCGCTTGAAAAATTAGCTTTCTTTTTTTTTCTTTTTTTTTTAGAGGTAAGTTGTTCGGAAACAGAGGGATCGCGGGTCGCACGGCCGTCGAGAGTGCTCGCGCCAGTAAACGATACAATGATTGTTCTCTCGAGGTTTGTGCACAAACCGGAATTAACGGAAACTAGTTTAAAATGAACACAAGGCAACTTACTAGCGGCGACCGAACTCGTCCACGAGGGTTACAATTACTCTCGGCGGCGTGTTCCGCGACCGAACGCGCGCATCGGTTTCGTTATTTCTCGAAAGTGAAATTTGTCGCGTCTCCGAACCGGACAGCGGGCGAGACCCGTCAACGATCTAGAGACCCCTTTTTTGCCTAGAGGACACATTGCGGGGGAACCGCGACCCGGTTTCCGGACGAAGGATTCCCTAGGGAATCGTGTCGATCCGGAAATCGGTGGTCCAGGTCGCGATCGAACCCCCGCGCGAGTTTGGTACTTGCAACCGGAGCGTAGATGGAGTTTGGGAAAATATCACAGCTGGCCCCCGGAACTGTCGAAAATCGAAAATAAAGGAGGGGCCTTCGAGGAACCACACGGTCGTCCCGGCTACGGCCTCCCGGGCCTCTATCTTTCGTCGTTCGTGCGGTGCGTCGTCGACGAGTCGCGTCTATGAAACGTAGAAAAAACGATACAGACAATAGCTACCAGCTATAGTATTATCATAGTCCCTAAATTGAAAACGATCGTCCCGCGGGCGGAACCGAGGCCGGGCAGACCGGGCTTCCTGTTTGCGCGCGGTATGTTCATATTTTATACACGTACAACTTTTGTAACTAATAATAATATTAATCGTCTGGATCTTTCCTATTAATATTATTATCCTTTAGCTCGCACGCTGGACCGAACGCCGCGACGTACGCGACGGTACACGCCTAGGGATTGCGCAGCGTCGCCGACTTTTTCAATCGCCGATCATGTGTTCGGCCAAGTTTTTCGTCGATACCGGTTCACCGGTCGTTTACCGGCATTTCCCGTTCCCGAGAAGCTATCGGTGTCGACGAGCAACAAATGGTAGGCATCGATAAAACTACGCGGCGCGCCGAATTGAAAAATCCATATAAAGTGTGCCTTTTTTCGATTTTTAGTGGTTTTTCATTTTTCGCAAGCGCTACCTTCGATTTGACTTCGATTCGATTTCAGATATAACCCCGAATTTCTAAACGTCAGAGAAAGTAGGCCAAACACCGATTTTACGATTTTACCCCGTAACTACCCTCGCGACAATACGTATAATTCAAGGGCTACTTCTGACCATTCGGTTACCGGTATCAAGGTAAAAGTACCAACGACGAAACAACTTCTTGAAACAGTAGCACAAATAATACAATAACAACTAGGCAGAGCACGCGAGAGTCGATGTAAATCGACCGTATTTTTGAACATTGTTCTTTACAAATTCGCTCGCGTATGTACCGCGTGTCATACATATAACGATCTGCTGTAAAAATAAACGTTTATATAATAATATATTATAATAGGTACACGCTCGTACTTCGCTATTTTATTCGCATTATTCTTTAGTCGTATCAAATGAATATCTCAAGATTCGTTACGTCAATGTATCGAACAGCGGTACAAATATATTCGACGCTGAATAGACGCTTCTTTTCAGTTCCGATCAAATCGGTGGATAATCTTACGTTAATCTAAAACGCGTTCCACAATGGGTACTTTCACCTTACCGGCGTCGTCGTTCCGAATGCCCGGAAACAAGGAAAGGTATGAAAGAAATATCGGCGATTTCGACCGGTCTACCGTTGCGTCGCAATCCCTGCACGCGCGCCGTGGAACGGGGAGGAGGACCGCACGAAAGGATCCCACAGGTTTTCGCGTCTTGTTCCTTTTACACCGATTAGGAATCGTCTCGGATAAGAAAAGCTGGAATTCGGGATTCCCTACGGTCGCGGGAAGCACTGAGGAAAGTCGCGGAGCCGCGAGTTTCCTCATCGCTCGGCGAAATTGTGATCGAGGATGATACACCACCGTACGCGTTTTGAAGCTGCGAGCGGGGCGGCTGGCCGGCTCGCATCTGCTTGGAATCGAATCACGGTCGAGCGCACGGGCACAGCAATTATTTTTACTTCTACTTACATATTAAGGAAAGCGTGTCGAGGTCGCACGAGGCTTCGGAATATTTTTGTTCGAAACGCTACTTTATACAAGGGAATTGCAATCACAGATCGATTCACCGTGCGAACAATCTCTCGAGCGAACCGCGGCGTTCTATATCTCACTCACTCACGCTATCTTTCTCGTTCTCTCCCGCTCTTTCTCTCCCGCGCTCGTTCTCTCAGCTGTTGATAGGATTCGACTGGACACGAACGCCTCTCCTCGATTCAAAGTCTATCTTTGCCGGATTTCTCTGGTTGCTACGAAACTAACGTACCGATCGACTAACTATTCCCGTCCTTTACATTTGTGCGAGACGGGTTTTAAACGCCGCGCCACGTTTTCTCGGTGGCATCCTCGCGCGCTCGTTTCCCGTGGGACTACGGCCCACTCCGCGCGTACACGCGACTTACGCATTAAAGTTTGATAAAAACACGCGCCGTTTCTTTGTTCTCCCTCCCCGGGGACACTCGACGAATCTATAAAGTCTCGCCGATCGGAACGCGGCCGGTCCGATAAATACAACGCTAAACATCTGAAACAATGAACCCACCAAATACAACAGGAAGATACCAGACGAGGTACTGGATAGACTTTGAAACCATCTAACCTTGGCAACCCAAAGGATACAATCTAGCTGATTCCTGAGACCTTCACGACATTCTCCGAAACAGTCTGATATGAGGAACCGTACGCGGAAATCCGTACGCATCGATCGTACGCGAACTGAAGCCTCGCACGAACGCGGTGCCGTTTAATGTCGTTAAGTTCCTTAAAATAATTTTCTTTTTTTTCCATTTTTGTTTTGTTTCTTTACTTCTTCTTCTCTCTGCTTCTTCGCTACCGTCGCGTCGTCCGAGTCGCGCGGAGCCAACTCTTCGCCGGGCTGCCGGCTGAAACCGGCGTTCTCTCTCTCTTCGGCGTTCGGTTCACGCGACCAAAGCTAACTGGGAGAAGAAGGACTCTTCGGACCCGTTTCACGCGAGGATGATTGCACCGCGACGCGCGTCCGACGAACGCGCCGACGATACAGCAGCGCGTCGCTTTTTCTCGTGTTTTCTCATTTCAATTTGATCGAATTTATTTGTTGCGTTAAACGGGGCGGACCCTTTGTTACAGAAGGTGTAATAACAGCGAGCACACACGGGTACCAGCGTGTAATAACAATAATAAGGATAATAATGATCGGTAATAACAGTAACAGTAATGACGGTAAGACGAGAATTAAGAACGGTTGCCTGCAATACCGATGGCAGAGCGTTTCAACGAAGTAAAGGAATTACAACAAAAAAGAAAAACAAAGAAAGTCGAGAGAATGGCGATAACGATTGGCGTTGGATGTGTAATCGGTTTAACCTTCGAGCGGCGGTGGTGGTGGTGACCGTTTGTTTTAATATCACCGGTGGCAACGCGACGTCGAATTGATCAGCGGTGCTGGTCAAGTGGTGCCACTGCTCGATAGCGCTACCATTAGCGATACAGAGTCAATTCGACGTCGAGTAGTCGTTAATTGATACGGAGACCATTTAATCTGGAGACTCGTCGGTATCGCTACAGAAGTCAATCCGCCGTCAATTCGTTATTGCAGCGATACAGAGTCAATTTTCCGACGAGTCGTTGCTGTTATAGCGATACAAAATCGACTCGACGTACGCCACCGCTAGAGTCAGGAGTCGATACGACGCGCGTCTCTACTCTAGGGTTAAACGGTTGCAACGACTATGTACAGTAAGGAGCAAAAGCGGTTTGCACACCCTTGAAACGGTTATACCGTTTTAAGAGGCTTGCGGGCGCTTTTGCTTTTTACTGTAACGTTTGCGTTCGCGTGAGAAAAAAAAGTACGCTGCTTGCTGTAACGCCGTGTCGCATGCGCGTATCGCGACGCAGGTGTCGTCGCGTGAAACGGGTCTCGGCGACTATTAGACCTTCCTCCGCTCGCTGCACCCTCGCCTCGCGTCGGGTGATCCGACCCCGCGGAATCAGCCGGAAGCGCGGCGACGCTGCTCGGGGCCCTCTCGCTCCCTAAGAGACCGACGCCTCCCTAGGACACACCATCGATCCCGACCACGGGGAGATTACGCGCCGTTCCCGACCGGGTTCGTTCCTGTTACTTTCAATTGTTCTCGATCGAGTCGATCTGGCTTACAAAAGCTACCGGTAATCGTCTAAAACGAGGACGCTGAAACAATCGTGTCCCGTCGTCGCCGCGAATCGAGGAATGATGCTCGTCAAGGTTTGGTTCTGATTGCTCGTCTATTTCGCTAGCGGGCCCGATCGATGGATAGATATTCGCGCTTTGGCCGAGAGAGCACTGTCGCCGACACAGTCTGTCAGCTCCGGGAGGGAGAGCAGCCCGAGACCGAGCGACGCGACTTAAATCGTGGACCATTTATCGAAAAATCGAACGTATAATTTCATTATTCCGCGTCGGCAGCCTCCGTTCCTCCGTCGTCTTGATGCCCGTCGCTCGCCGTCCCTTCGACGTCTCCCGACGGATCCTCCTCGATCTCCGTCGCCTCTTCGGCGTCCTCGGCAGCCTCCTCGATCGCTTCGTCGGCCGACTCCTCGTTCGGGCCCCCGCCGTCTTCCGATCCGTCGGCGATCGCCTCGGTCTGCTCCGACGCCAGGCAATAGTCCGCGTACTGTTTCAGTTCGGTCTCGCCGATGGAGATCTCCCCGTCGTTCTCGAAAGCGTTCGCTATCTTCTGCTCGATCGTCAGCTGCCTGACCGCGTTCTCCAGGTTGTCTCTGAGCACGTTGCTCGACTCGGTCTGCCCTTCCTGCCACGACGACGGCGTGAACGTCATCCGAACCGTCTGGTACAGCTTCGCGAAACCCAGCTTCTTGTACAGGCTCTGGCTGGCTTCGTTCTCCGGACGTATCACCACGAAAGGCTGGTAGCCCCTGTCGGCTACCCGTTTCGTCAGGTACCTGCGAGTAGTTCGTCACCGTTCAATTGGGAAACGCTCTCGGATTCGGCCAACCAGACACCAAAAAACGCACTCGATCCTCCATTCAGCAGTCAAGCACTCTCATTCCGTCGGTGTCCCAACGCAATGCGTATATCCACTCACTCGTTGCTCATGATTTTCATTTTATTCGGTGTGAACGCGTCAAATGCCGTTTTAATTTTTCCACGAAAATAGTAGTAGAATAACGACGATAGTAATGATAATATACAAAGAGAACGCAACCTAGATTCTGACAACATTATACAGCTGACTTTTGGATCGATTAAAATCATCGACAAAGAGGTCAACGTCGTTGGTCAAATTGACAATTGAGAATCCTGTTGAAAAGATCGGTACAGAGAACCCGAGAGACACACACACACAGCGACGAGAACGTAGTCTCGTGTAAACGATAGCAGATTGTTCAAAATGATCAATTTGATAATTTTCATTCGAAAGCAAGATTCAATGATTCTCGTCACACTCCACTCAAACAACAATCTTGCAATAGCATTGCGACCTGGTATCGACCGAGTACATTTCTTCGCACGAAAGTTAGACTCGGATAAGCCACCACCACATTGACAAACCCTTGCGTACCAGAGACATACATAATTTACAGTCTTCGATGATCTGGAGCAGCGTTTCCCACGATTAGACGAACGAACGGTATTTGATACGTTCGCTGTCAACGAATAAATACATGGTGTAGAGTATGATAAAATTGTCGTCAAAGAGAAGTTATAGATTCTCTGAACACCATGCTGCGTGTTACAATGTGTGAAATAATTATATTCACAAAATTAATTTGACGTTTGATTTCCGACTTATCAAAATTGCATAAAAGAAAAAGAAATTTCTAGCCGAGGAGAGTCTTTCGGTGGCGAGAAAAATTGCGGGAAACGCGGCTTCAGTGCGCCATCGAGTTCGGGCTGGATGGCAGAGAGAATCTCTGCCGCAGCCAGCAAAGTCGAAGAAAAATAATCCTACCTTGCTAACTTCGTTCCGTAACCCTTCCTCCGGTACTCTGGCCTGGTCTGCATGGAGAACATGGCCCCGTAGTAAGACTGCACCATCCACGCAGCCAGGTTGCCCTTGACGAAGACCCCGCCCGCCGACAGCATTCTGATCAGCCGCAGAAATACTTCGTGGCACTCCATGTCGTTGGCCGGGTACAGCTCGTGAATGGCTTCCGCGTGTTCGCCCTTCAACGGCATCACCTGGACATCGGGGTCCGCCTCGTCCTCGGACTGCGCGTCGTCGACGTGCTCCGTATCTCGGCAGACGAACACGTCGCCGACTACCGTCTCGATGGTCCCAGTGCCCTCGTAAAAGCGGGACAGCTCCTCGGCGATGTCGTGATGAACGAAATTCATGTAAAGCGGCTTGGACCAGTCGACCAGCACGTCCTCGTCCCTGAGCAGCTTGAGCAGCTCCAGACGGTCGTTGGGACAAAAGACGCCCACGCTCTCGTAGAGCAAGCCGTGGGGCTGAAAGAAAGTTCGGATAGACGAATTAGAGGCGGAAGTCGAGAGCACCGACGATTATTTATCGGTTCGCGCGATCGACGACTCGTCGAGGGGTGCGACAATCCTCTCTGCCGCGCCCACGAATGTCGAAAATGGGTCGCGCGAATCGCGTTTTAAATAAATAAACGATCGAATTTAAATAGACACGTTTCGTGCGTCTTGTTCGATAAATATAAGGTTAATTACGCCGGGGAATAAAACGAAACGGCGCGGTAATTGGCTCGACAATCCTAGATGTTCCGGATCGACGCGCGACGCTTGTCGCATCGCGTCATAACTTCCCGCGGCGTCGGCGATAAATCCCGCGGGAAATGTCAAGGTTCGCGACGCCTTTTGATTTATAAAATGCCGCGGAAAGGACACGCGAGCACCCGTCGAATCAACAAATTGCTGGCGCGGTAATTAACTAAAGAGCAACGGGGGAGGAATCAACTAGCGCCGGATCGGAGGGGCGTGCGGCGAGGACGCGAAACGTAGCCCCGTCCGGCTAGCTTTCGCCGTGAAACAAAAGATTGGCCGAGAGCCAGGCGGAGGATGTGGGCCAACTTTTCCGCACCCTCGCCGATACGCCGAAGATGGATTCGCGGGACGCACGCGAGAGCTCGCCGATTTTCGCGGGCCCGATCGGTCCACCGTGGTCCGGTCATTTTTGGCCGAGGGGTTTCGTCAAATTTTGGCTCGTTTTTATAGTTGTTGACAGTCGGTAGCTATAAAATCGAGCCGCGAGGCTCGAATAATCGTGTCTCCGTCAATTAGGGAGAATTTACTGTACTTCGGAATGCTATTCATACCAAAGCCTCGAATTCCAAGGTTTCGAAGGGTAGTCGATTTCGAGGAAAATCGAATATCCTGAAAAAAAAATCGAAGTCGGAGAATCGACTTTTGGCCAAAAATCACTCCGGACCAGCGGTCCCGCGATCTTCGATCGCGTCTTCGTTCGAAGATGGATTCCGAGACCCGGGCAGCAGAGATTACGCGAGTTCGCCGATAGTTTGTTTCGCTCGGATGCGAGCCGGGGTATTGTGCGGTGGACGTGGCGCCGCGGGTCGTCGCTTATCGATCTGCCCGTAATCTGAAAGGAACGGCGACTTATTTTATACTCACCGACAACGTCATGCCGGGGAAGTGCAGGCAGATCGCCTCCTCGGGCCAGCCGTTGGCCACGTAGAAATGAAAGTCCCACACCTTGTCCCGCTGGTACGTAAGCAACGTTTGATGGAACTGCGGAGAAACGGAGAGATTATCGTTTAGACGCGAAGCGCTGAGTTCGTTCCCATTTCTGTTGGAACACGCGAGGTGCTATATAATCGCGACGTCTTTTGTCACGCGGGTATTGCTAGGTACGTACACCTCCCCCCCTCCAAAAGTATTGGGACACCTGCTGATTCGGCATAGATTGTAATTTTTTCATTCAGTTTGGGTAATATTTTATGTTTGCCATTAAGTTTCGTGGCATCGTGTCGCAAGTACACATTAAGCTAGAAGTGGGTTTAAGCACTTATTGCACTTTGTTCGATAAGAACGTGCGCTCAGTTTAATTCAAGTCAATCGAATTGTATCGTAGACCGAATTGCAACGATTGAATCGTTGTCCTTGGATGGTGCAGAATTTTCCAGAAATATTCCACAAAACCGTGCTTTCAATCGAACGCGTGATAGAAATAATTTCGACGATCCAAATCGGCGAGATACGCCACTGTGCGCAGTGGCGTCGAGAAGCAAGCTTCTAGCTGGTAAAATATATCGAGTTGTTGATATAAAACCGTGTGGATCCACTAAATCTCGAAAGATTAGAGCCAGGGGACAGGCGAGGCGAGGCAACGGATTCCGCGGGGGTGTCGAGGGAGCAACGGGGGTGTCTTCTCGGCGTCGCGGAAGAATTCGAATAGCACGGGTCGGTTAAAGGGACGGATCCTTTTCATGGAGCGCGAGCTGAACGCAGCGTCTGAAATGAAAGGGTAGATATTTACGAGGAAGCGGCAGGATAAAGAGGAGAAGCCTAGCCGAGGGCGACGCTCCAGACGCCGGGTCTTAAAATAACTACCACGTGCTACCTCTGGTACCCTTGTGTGCAAAGTGTCCTCGTCCCGTTCACCGGAAACCTCCATATTTCCGGAGGAGAGAAAGGGGAACAGGTTCTTTCTCTGTGTGTGTGTATTCAAATATTTTCGCGCGATACTCTCTCTCTCTCTCTCGCTCTCTCTTTCTCTCTCGCCGAGCCATTCGCTCCACTTTTCCCTGGAACAATACCGGAGAAGACACCTGTTCCGGATCGCGGAGCCTCCGCTCGGCCGGAATGATCGGCCGCCGCTGGGCTCGTAAACGCGGGCATCAATCGGAACACACGCGGCAGCCGTAATTTACGTGGCAACAGGCATCGGCTACTAACTCGGTAACAACCTGCCGGTTGAAAGTAAGTAAATAATCGGCTGTGGAAGCTGTTGCGGAACAAGCACTGGTTGTCCTAGATTTTATGTAACAGCTGCGCGGCTGCGAACGCCACGTTGTCGTCGTCGTCGTCGTCGTCCTCTAACGTTCTAACGATTTTTACGCGCAGCCTGTCAGAGGCGGAGAGGCGGTCGTGTTGCCGGCGGTGGCATTTCCTTCGCGAAAGGATTTCTGCCGACAACGCCTCCTGCATCGTCGGATCCTGTCCCGCAGGACCGCCGAGTGTCACGAACTGGAATCTTGCGGCAAACTTTCGGGACAGGTGAGAGATTGCGATCAGGATCTAGTAGTGGCTGACTTTCGCGGAGCTGCAATCAGGACAACCCTTTAGCGCAGGTGTTTTCGGAACGACCGGACCCTGCTCCGCTTCTTCGCTTGCTAACTAGGGACTGCAAACCGGTTTACCGGGAAGCCGAAAGTACCTATTATGGAACGATTTTCAGGGGATAGAAGATCGTCGTCGATTCTATCGCAACCTGAAAGTGTTACCGTCGAATGTTACCGTTCGATAGATTGATCCTTTTAGACGACCTAATGAACGTTCAAGTATCTATTCGACGGAATTTATTTGCTGGGATTTTCACGAGAAGCTTAAACAAATACGTTTCACTGCGCTTAAATAGTAACGCGTAAAGAGAATAAACAGGAACCGAATTGCCTGTCGTAGAAAAAGCGTGTACATTTGCAACCGCCGTTGCTAGCACCTGCAATTAAGTAGCAAACTTTCACACGGTGTGTCGGCGACGTACGAGGCAGCAGTCGAGCCTCTCGTAAGCCTATCATTAAAGACGACGTGTAAATGTTTAAACCTCCGTTCCGCGTCTCGCCCGAAGCGGGTAGAATTTAACAGAAACTCTCGAGTCTGGTAGCCACAAACTTTCGCACGGTGGTTGGCCGGGTCTGGGATGTTGCAGCCGCGGTGAACCTATGGAACAGTCGGCGCGATATCGCGCACGGAGAAGCGACAGAGCGACGTCTGCCAGCGGCGATATACAGCGGCCGTTGTTCCCGAAAACGTACGCGATGTAATATAAAATGTTCCGCATGCGGTGTGTAAACCGGCTGCGGATTTACATATCGGCGGGCCGGATCTCGGGGAGCGGTTCCGAGCATGCAAATGCGGGGGGGTCCGCGGCGATTGTCTCAATTTATTTGGTGTCTTTCGGGCGCGGGCCGCCGCGCGGCAAATGAATTTCGAACGGAAGGTTCGAGCAGCAATATCGAGCCGGCATCCTGCGTACGGGGACTTGGCAGTCCGGCGATAGACGCACGACGCCCTTTCGCGCGTAAAATTCATTCCCGGGTGAAAGTCAATTTCGTATCGAGTCGACGGGGCGCCCCCGTTTACCGAGTACCCAAACGAGGGTGAGAGAGAGAGAGCGTTCGCCGTTTATTGAACGCGCACGCGAGACACGCGTTTTAAAGGGAACCGTGTTTATACTAATGTAACGAGTCGCTCTCAGAAATCGGTTTAATTGGGCAACCAAGTTGACGGGTTCACACTGGTTGCCGAGTGAAAAGTCATGCAACCTAATTCGCCCGGTTTAAGGTTAATATTAGAACGGCACGAAAGCCCGATGACTGCGGATACACGAGCGCCACGGTTTCGTCATTTTCGATACAGTAAATCTCAATCGAGCATTCTAGCTCCATTTTCTAAGAAATGTATATTTTAAATACCTATTATTAGAATATGAATTAGAATTGGCGGATCTTTAGGCGAAAATAATAACTGTCCGCAACATTTTTCCTTTCTTAAATCATTTTGATAAGTCGGATTTAATAGATCAACGCGTTCTCAGTTGCTTTTAATCGTTTCACTATGTTATGCTTTACGAGTCCATTTTGTCCGCAGAAGCACAAAATCCGCGGTCCACTTGTTACATATTTGTAAAATCGATAAAATATTCACCCTCGCGTTTCATTCAATGCACGAGCGCCACGGATTCGTAATTTTCAATATAGTAAATATCAACGAAGTGTTTCGGGCCCATTTTGTAAAATATATATACATATATTTTTTTTTAAATACTTATTACTATATATTTGTAAAAAATCAAGGAAGCATTCGAGCTTCGATTTGAAAGAAAGATCACCCCACCCTACATCGATTTTTCGCGGAGTCGTCTTCGGTCAAAGATTACGTGAACTTCCATCGAAAATCTGTCCGTGCTATAATTCGTTCGACCGGCGCATTTGTTCGCGGCTGTAGAGGCGAGACGAAGACGCGCACGCGATCCAGACAGCGCTTCGTCGAAGCTCCTCGAATCATTATCGAGCTTGAGCCGCAGCTCGTTAAGCATCCTCGTGGCGACGGGCAGGCGTGCGGAAAGCATCGATTCAAATGCGGATTCGAAAAACCGGCATGGCATCACGTGTGCGCGTCGTCTGGACACGTCCTTGACCCTGACTTCTCGCCGGGATAAACGGTGCGGGCTTTATGCGCAATCATTTCGTGCTGGTCAGACATTTCAGCCTGCGGCGTGAACGTAATCGAAACGAGCCGGGAATAGGCCGGATGATAAAAAGAAATTCCCGTCGAGACTACGGCCGCGCAATTTTCCGACCCGTAGAACCTGCTCTCTGGAAGGGAAGCCCCTAAGCAGCTCGAACTTAATATTTCACTCTTCTGCGCCCTTGCTCTTAAATACAATCGCATTCACGCGGTTCGGGAAAAATAGAATTTTTTAGCAGATTGTAAATATTTGTACCTTCTCGCGCGACAGAGAACTCGGCAGATAAACTATTTTCTGAAACAGCAGTTACACGTAGAAATAGCGTTTCAAATATATATTTTAATAGTTAAAGCGTCCATTAAAGTAGAAGAAAAAATAGTATTTCATCAAGTGGTAATATTTCACGGAACAATATTTAGAATAATGGTATTCCAAGTATAATAATAGTATCGCAAATAAGATATTTTGTTGCTTCAACTTGTTATTGTACCCTGTGCCTCCTTTTTGTAGATAATATGCCCGTAGATAAATGAACGATAATATAATTTTTGTCAGCATTCCAACCAATTGCAATATTTCAGCATAATTCGAGTAAAATTTTGCTCAGCTCCGCCACAGGCTGAGAAATATCGGGTACTTTTTTTTTCTCTGTAATGCAGCAGTAGTTTTCCGTGGTCTGTCGAAGGTGCGGAATTCTAGCGTCGGATTCCAGGACTGGGTCTCTGCGACAATATCGCCGGCGCAAGATTACGAGATCGACGCCGTGCCGCGATCACGGAAACGCGACCATGGCCTTGACTCCGGTACACCTTGTACATCGGTACCGGAATCAAGGTGGCGTGGCCGGCGGTCGTAACACCGGTAGTCCCGCCGCTCTGCCGTCGACGAGCCAGGAAACAAAGCTCTTTTAGATCGATAATTCTCCGGGTCGAGAGTGAAAGGCGAGAGAGAGAGAGAGAGAGAGAGAGAGAGAGAGAGAGAGAGAGATAAATGGACGCCGGCCCGGAGTTCGACNAACATTTTTCCTTTCTTAAATCATTTTGATAAGTCGGATTTAATAGATCAACGCGTTCTCAGTTGCTTTTAATCGTTTCACTATGTTATGCTTTACGAGTCCATTTTGTCCGCAGAAGCACAAAATCCGCGGTCCACTTGTTACATATTTGTAAAATCGATAAAATATTCACCCTCGCGTTTCATTCAATGCACGAGCGCCACGGATTCGTAATTTTCAATATAGTAAATATCAACGAAGTGTTTCGGGCCCATTTTGTAAAATATATATACATATATTTTTTTTTAAATACTTATTACTATA